CACAATCTACGTATAAATGACTTATTATTTATTCGTAGTATACAGTTTAGTCAGTATAAAACAAAGTCGCTCCCGCTTTTTGTACGCTGAGATCTATTAAACTACGCAACTGATATTAATGCAGTTGTCAGCAATAGATAGAGTGATTCAAGAGTAAGGTTTATATGTATATACATGCATATTATATTCATACTAACAGATAAATCGTACCTAGGAACGAACCCAAGCGAAACGAGGATGAGTCTCTAATTATTAATAAAATATACCTAATGATCGTCCCACCGGAGTATGAGAGTGATAGGAATAGTGCACGTTGTGTCTGCGCGTACACTTGAGCACTATAATATCTCCTGCGCAGTTGGCTAATCTCATTGAGATTGGCCGCCGTGGCCGGAATCGGCTAGAAGAACATCATACCTAATGATTAAATTAAACATTTTAAAAACACCCAAAACAATAACCTATACAATAAGGCCATTTCAATGAGCCTAAATATGATATCTCTGTAGTATTTTTAAGATGTTAAGTATCTTGCAGAATCCAGGTGACGCTCCAGCATCAGGCCAAAGCTTCAATATTATTGCGATGTCATTGAAATAACGAGATACCAAGTTTCGGATCGATTAGATCTGTGGAAATTGCTCATATCCTTTTACCGTCTAGAATAGAGCTAATTTCCTGCTTACGGCTGAACACATTTTCTTTATTTATAGCTAAGAAGACTCTCAATCATATCAAATTACTTTTCAAACAATAGAAATAAAATTAAAATCGTTTTATCCGTTATTAAAACTCTACCACTGGCAGACAAGGCACAGCCTAAGCCTGAAAGTCTAGAAGCTTGAAATTCTGCACAAAAAATTATCTTGTAACTTATACCGAAATTATATTAAGAAATAAATATTTTTATTTAAATGAAACTTATTTTTATATTGAAATTTTAAACTAATGTTTGAATAATGTTTTCAGTAACGGTTTTCATTTAGAATTTAAAGAAATTTCAAATATTCTGCTGCTACCCGCACTGTCTGGAAGATTCGATATTAAATCACAAATATACCTAATTACGCCTGGAACGTGGATTCGTAAAAACCTATTACTCATATTCCGATATAAAATTTACGGACATGCCGATAATGATTTCTCTTTGAGAGATGTAAATAATAGATGATGATTATTATTAAATTGTAACGCGTTCAATGCTTTAAGACAAGTGTTGTTTTAAAGTGCTCGTGTTAATGTTAATATGATTTTATTTCATATCGATGTTTTTACAATATTTATCTGTTAATTTGCTTGACCACGTAGCTTTCGAGAAACCCACCAAATATTTTAAATAGAATTATCTTTTTGAATAGTATACTGTCTGTATCAACTATAAGGATCACTTTTGAGACGTCTACAACGGTAGACTCCCGCGTGGCCATGATTGCTGTAAAGCATTCGAAACGTCGGAAAATAAAAAATCAAAATCCGCGAGAAAAACCGAATTAATTGTAAAATATTCGCGTAAATCAAAGAAAGTATTATATCTTCCAAATATACATAATTTTAGTAAGAATTAATGAAAGTTATAAAGGATGTTTCAAATAGACTTAAAAATCTCATGAATAAATAATTTTTATGAATGCAAACAACTTTAAAACACCTTTTATTATCTCCGAGAATGCTTTTATAAAAATAAACATTAACAAATATTTTAGCAGGCTAGAGTTCAGAGCCGCGGCTGAGGTCGTCCTTTGGCATTAATAAAGTTTACGATTAAATATAATGTGTGTTTGTGCCGTTTGAGATTTTAAATGTACTAAAATGTATGTATACTTCTAAATAGATTCCTCTGAAGAGAAAGAGATTTTTTGTTTGAGTACCATTTGCCTACCTAGTACGTGTAGATACATATATATGTTTATACGATGTTCCAAGTACAGCTACGAAATTATAGTCAGATAAGAAGTTAAAGGTTTTATGTTTTAAAGGATTGAAAAAAATGTAAAAAAAAAATTCTGTAACCATCTCCATATTGAATGTTATCACGTTCAGATTGTTATTAGCGGTTTAAAGTTTGTGGTATCACGACATATAGCATTACAATTTAACTAGTAATTTAAAAGAATTCAAACTAAAGTGTAACGCAGGATTATTTTTTCCTTTTTCAAGTTGATTATTTAATATTGAAAAAAAAAGTATATAAGAGAAAAGTAATGTAATCTTTCAATTACATTTCATTTTGATGTTTCAAATGTTCTTTTACATATTTTGATGACACGTTTGGCTCAGTTTGTAGTGACCCTACTTGCTGCGCCAGCGGTCGCGGGTTCGAGTCCTGCTGGGGGCATTCATTTGTGTGATGATCACGAATATTTATATTCCAATCATGGGTGTTTATATTTATAATACTTATGCATTTAAAGTTATATATGTGTAGTGTATGAACGGATATATAAAGGAGGGTTGACGTCAGGCAGGCGGCCGGTAGTAAAACTTTTGCCAAATCTTATCAGCAGTACAGAAGATATACTGCGCCGACCTCAAGTGATTGGGGAAATGGGCAGGGAAGGGAAGAATATGTGTATGAACTATCTGGTATCCATAACACAAGCCTCGTAGCATACCTTGGCACTAGATGGTTCTGTGTGTTAATGTCCCAAAATATTTATTTATTAATATCTTCATATAATTTTCGATTTTCTGTGTATATAATTATATGTTTAGTATGTATCTACTTTGTTGGTGGTCTACGGAATAAATAAAAAAAAACACTTTACAAAAGCCAGAAAATAACGATAATGGAATATTAGATACCTACTAAGTTCTAAATATGAAACTTCTCATTTTTCGAGAAGAATAAAAATGGACCCAGTTCAGGTTAAAAGTTCATTTGAATTCCTGAGACAATTAAAAGGTATGCACACAACACCGAGACGATACAAAATATAAATAAAAGCTTAAACCGTAGTTACTTGCTGGTGATATTGATTAGTAGTCGATTAAAAGAAGCACAAAAGCTTTTGAAGTCAGTGCCCTCCGTTTTTGATGAAAGTGAATTTATTAAACTGGTACAAATTTAACAGAAAAAAATAAATTTTCAGTATTAAATGATAGAGGAGTATCTACACATTTAGTATACGAGGATCAGAGAAAAATACCACTTATTGTTAGTACTGATTAAACACGTATAAATGTTACGAACTTGTGTGGCAGGGAGATACCTCATGGAGGGGTAACAAAAAGGTTGCAAGTTGATAAGTAAATATGTTATTTTCAAAGTGTTCAAAGAGATAAGCAATTCTTTGTATTATTATATACTATATATATATATATATATATATATATATATATATATATATATATATATATATATATTTAATATTTATACTAGCGGCTCACCCTCGCTGCGCTCAGATTCGCCTCTAGAAAAACAAAAACAAATCTATCCCACGGGGACCGTACATTTTTCCGGGATAAAAAGTAGTCTATGTGATGCGTTCCCAGACAGACAGACAAAAATTCTAAAAACTATGGATTCGACCTCTGCATTGATAATAATGACTATTTCAATAAGATTTTAAAAAATATATGTAATGTACAGATTCTGCTTAGTTACAATTTTATTCTCTGTATAGATATCTCATTAATACCTTTTAAAATTAACTAGCGGCTCACCCTCGTTTCGTTTGGGTTTGTCGCTAGGTACGTTTTAAATAGATATAAACAGTTATTAGCCAGCGTTAGCCATATACATTTTAAATTTTTTTCGTTAATTTTTCTGATGTTTTAATACTTGTTATACTATTCCGGACTAAGAGAAATCCAAAAAATCTAATATCATAACAATTGGTCCAGCCGTTCTTGAGTTATAAATGGTGTAACTAACACGACTTTGTGTTATATATATAGATATTAGTCATTAATTAAATAACAAATAAATTGAGTTGATGTATATTATCTTATATATATAAAAATGAATCCCTATTTTCCTTGGTCACGCCATCACGCGTGAACGGCTGGACCGATTTAACTTTTTTTTTGTTGTGTTTGTTATTGTCAGGAAAAGGTTCTTATGAAAGAAAAAAAATTAATAAATTGCGCGGAAAATTATAAAATTTAAGAATACTTAACAACCATATTAAAATGTATATGGTTAACGCTGGATAATAACTATTTATATATATTTAAAACGTACCTAGCGACGAATGCGAGCGAAGCGAGGGAGAGCCGCTAGTATTTAAATAAGTAAAGGCAAAATTGTTCAGTGCCTTGTTATCTTCTGTTCGTCAACGTTTTTTTTAGTAGCTATTGACGAGCGTAGCAACGTAGTGTCATCAATAAAAAAAAATATAACAGTTTTTTTTTCGTATAATATTTATGATCGAATTTTGACAAAACTAGTTCTAATTAAATATTTTAAACTGAACAAGTACATTCACAGGAACACATATATACATCGATTACTTATGAGTTGCATACCAAACCTATGCCATAGATTGGAACATGCAATGCTAAAAAAATCAATATAGAATTTAAACTCTATGATACAATGAAATAATTAATATATAATAATAACATATGAACGTCTAGTTTATTATTTATATTAGTCTACTTCTGAGTACGAATTTAAAATCTGTAACAACATATTTATATACAAGCAAATCTTGTTTGAGGAAATGTAATTAAAATTTGAGTCTTTATTTATTTAAAGCTACAACAAAAACGATGAGCTTGACATTTAAAAAATTACCAATACACAGTACTCATTAGTTCCAATTTTGAACAACAATTACACATGCATATCTACGAGTACATATCTACGAGAACGCTACGTTTAATCATATTTGTATAAGGATATCGCAATATCCAAAAGAGCTTTTAAAGCTGCATTAACGATTTTTAAATTCTCTAAAAAACATTTTAAAGCCCGAAACATCCGGTTAAAACAAAGCGAGGACACAAAAATAAAGGCTCTACTGCAGATATAGATTGATACAGTACAAAGCACTTACAGGTCGAGGCGGTGCACTATCCACGCCCATCTTTATATCACTTAGACACCTATCCACATGATATTTAACTATATTTGTTAAAGGTTTTATAATATATCTTTTAATAGGAGCCGCGAGACTGCGGCCGCCCGTTTACACCCATCCTTGGGTTACTGAATGCTGAAATGGCATTTAGTGACGTGCAATAGCATTGCGCGAAGAAATAGTATTTTAGATTTGACTAGCGACTCACCCTCGCTCCGCTTGGATTCATCCCTACTTACGTTTTAACGTTTAGTATAGATTTCTCAGAGATGAGATATTTTACCGCACTAAAAAGTTTTCTATATGTTGACCTGGATAACCAGCTATCATCGTACCAAATTTCATCAAAATCCGTCCAGTGGTTTTTCCGTGATGCGGTAACAGACAGACAGACAAAAATTCTAAAAACGTTAGATTCGGCCTCTGTACCGATAATAATGTCTATTTCAATAAGATTTCCCAATAAAAAAAATATTGTACAGATTCGACTTAGTTAGAATTTTATTATATGTATAGGTAGATATAAAAACTAAAAATATGTAGGTATATTATGTAGCTCATTGTATTTAGGCCATAAATCTATTAAAGAATATATATTACATAATAGAAATATAGATAGGATATCATTTGCATATTAAAACTTAATTAAAGGCCCTTTTCTCTTAGAAGGATTTTGAGTATATTGAGGAAGAAAATTAAAGGAATAATGCAGCAAAGAAAATGAACACCGAATATGATTGACACTAACCGCAGTCATTCAAATAAACATTTACTAGGTTTATAATCTGTTACTAAAATGATGTACCTAATAAGGTGAGAAAGAACTTTTCAAAATTTAGCCCCTATAAAAAATATTTGTGTCATCAAATGAAATATTAAACTATCGATAACTTTAATGGCCATCTCTAAACTCTTAACGATGCGCGCGCCGCGTCGCACCGCACAGCCTCACACCTTCATCTCGGCGGCGCAACGCATTTTGAGCCTTACTCACTTTAATTAGAGCAGCTATTTAATTATACGTCACCTGCCCTTCATTTTGGCGCTGTGGCCCAAGTTAGGGACGCATCACTGATCCGCTATGGGAGCTTAAATGTCAAGTTGTACCGAAAGGTCATTTCGCCTCTATCGAAAAATATAATACTATCGGCTTTTGCTACGAATTGTATTTTATGCCTGTAAGGATCTAGGTAGCTTTACGTCATTATGATTTGTATACAGATTTTTTTATTTTTTTTATTTTATTTGGATAAGCACACTTACAACATACATACACAGCATTTGTAAATTAATTAATAACAATAATAATAGAACTTATATGTATGTCAATTACTAGTGTACATATGCATTTCCACATTCAATGATTAAAAGCACAAAAAAAATCATAACTGCAATATTGAAAACAGAGCCAAAAAATAAATAAATCTAAATAATATCATTTTACAAAGGAAATAGATGATAATAAATGAATTTCAATGGAAATTGGAGTACCTGTGTGGAGAACAGCTATATTTTAGCCAAATTAAACAATTTTTGAAATATACATAATAATATGCTCTACTTATTTCACTTTATTAATATAACTACGTATGCTATCATAAGTATTAGAAAGGGTACAAGGAATCAGCTGGTATTAAACTTATAATTTGTTAATTAAAGAATATTAAAATAAAAATAATATTATACTATATCAAGAAATATACAATCCGTAAGTAAATTTTATTTTAGCGACTTACCCTTACGGATTTTATTCATAATTTCATGCGTGTTTTTTTTTCGCGAAACCCTAGCTCTTGTCCAGCCCTTTCGGAGATTAGCCGAAATAAACAGACAGACAAACATTTTTTTTTCTTATAAGTACCTACCATTAGTACTTTCATGTGTATTCAGTAAAAAGCTGTAATTTTGACATTACAAACAGACATTTCAACCTTATTCATTTGTACAAATAAGATATGAAAATTAAGGGTATTTATTTCCAGAAACAATAGACTTTTTGGCGTTACAGTTAACAATAGATTTTTTAGAAATTTAATTAATTTCTTAGAAATTTAATTAATTTCTTAGAAATTTACCTGGAGGTGTCATCTAAGAAAGGCACGATCGCTTGTGACACACATCACAACTCCAGGGCGGTGTATATCGTAGTGTATATCAGGGTGATAACTTTCTCATACATAAGCACTAATAGCTGTTTTATGGTTATTCTTATATAATCGTCTGCACGTCAACTTGCTGACGTCACGGCGGCTCCGTCAGAGATCAAAATTCGATTGCCTTCAGATTATAAAGCTATTACCTACTAAACCAATTAACGCTTCGTAGATTATTATCGTGTTTATATTGTGGAATATACTCATAGGAAAGACTCTCTGAACTTTTTAGTTTAATTTTCAAGGGTTTTTTCATGTAATAAATCAGATTAAATATTTTACTAATGTCAAAATGATTATAACACATTCACATACTTTAAAATTAAATTACCTATATAAAAAAGTAAACATCGTAGCAATCTACCTATATCTGGTAATATTATGTGAAAGTTTGTGAGTATGGATGTTTGTTACTCTTTCACGCCAGAACGGCTGAACGGAACTGGATGAAATTTAGCACAGAGATAGATTATAGTCTGGAATAACACATAGGCTACTTTTTATCCCGGAAAAATGTACGATTCCGGTGGGATATGTTTGTTTTTGTTTTCCTAGAGGTGAACCAGAGCGAAGCGAAGGTGAGCCGCTAGTTCATAAATATTCCACCCATGATACTCCATTTTCAATGTGTAGCTTATTTCATAAAAATAACATCTAAATCACGCCACATACGGTGAAGATATAAAAATACGAATTTATTCGGTTCATATAACATAAGTACCTAAATAATGAACAATAAACTCCAATAACGCTACTTTTCATTTTATTTTTACTTTTCATTACTAAATCCTTTAAATATTACACAAAACTTTCTATGTAACTAATCGTACCTTCCCTAAAGCCGCGCTTTCATCTTTAACATAACTTATATATTTTAGTCATGGCGTATGATATAATTTGTACAAATTGTTGAACGATTAAAACAAGAACGTGCTCTAAATTAGATAGATATTGTTGAAAATGGCGCTCCGAAGGTCGTCTGGCGTACCGTATATATATAATGTATATACATAGGCTTATGTTAGAATTAAGATACCTATTTGTTTTATAACAAGATTAATGAAGTTTTCGATGAGAACTGTTACACGAGGAAATAACATTTAGTAATTGTTTTTCAACTGAAAATATACATCGACTTGACTATAAAACACTTTAAATTATGTTTACATTCCACCCTTGGAGGCGGAATTTTAAAAATTCTGATGACCAACCATTCATTAAGAATAATTATGAAAATCGGTTTAAAATTGGCGAAAATGCCCTTATAATTATACACAAAAAACGAACGATTTCAGTAGATACATATATACACCGTTTTTAAATCGGTATAAAAATATTAATTGTATAGTGAATCAGATCAGTATATTTATTGCTTTGTTTAAATTAATTTTAAATAAACTTTTATTAAAAAAAAACATAATGCAGTAAAAAATAAATTGAATTTCTGAACTAACATACGTCACAATTAAAAAATATATATAATACTAGCATTTCCCGCGGCTCCGCCCGCGTTCAGATTACCAAAAACCAAATTCTTAGGTTTTACATAGTATTAGTATAATCTTACAATGCAATTATTGTATTTTTTCTCAAAAATGAGATATTTTCCCACGGTAAAAAGTATCCTATATGTTGACCCGGATAACCAGCTACGACCATACAAAATTTCATCAAAATCCGTCCAGTTGTTTTTCTGTGATGCGGTAACAGACAGACAGACACAGACAAAAATTCTAAAAACTATAGATTCGGCCTCTACATCCAGAATAATGTCTATTACAATAAGATTTTCCAAAAAATATTTAATGTACAGATTTGGCTAAGTTACAATTTTATTATATTTATAGATAGATATAGGTACGTATTATTCAGCATTCTATTTATAGTTTCGCCCCCTATTTACGAGTATTTATAAGATAATCCAATGATCTTGACCTTATATTTGCTGTTAAGTACAACGTAACGGTATGAAGCCTTACAACCGGACGAGTATGTGTGCATGTAGAGAAACCACGTTAGGTAAAAGGTTATTTGGAACACACAAAAAACTCGTTCTTTCTACTTCTGCGTTTGAATTCGAGCCCAACAGCCCTAGAATGTACCTTAAAGACATTTAAAACTTTTTAAATAAAAGAACTTTTTACGCGAATATTTGAAAATAAAATTAAATAAAATTTTATTTTCAAATATTCGCGTAAATCTAAGAAAGTTTTACATTTAAAACTGTTACTTATAGTACCGCAGTAGTAGCTTTTGCCCGTTGCTCCATTCACAAATTAGATAAGTCGTAAAAATGATTTTTATAGAATTTGGCCTAAAGATGTAATAAACCTACACTTCCTGAGTTAATTATTCACATACCATAGTTTAGCCCAGTGGTAACGCGCTCGCTTCGATAACCGAGTGAAGCTGATTCAAATCCCGGGGCTCGCACCTCTGATATTTTCATGTGCGAATCATTTCTAACATGATTACCACTTGCCTTACGGTGAAGGAAAACATCGTGGGGAAACCTGCATGTCTGAGAGAACCTAGCAAGTTTTCGAAAGACATGTGAAGTCCACCAACCCGCACTTGGCCAGAGTAGTGGTGGTGGTGGTGGACGTGGGCCGTTAAAAAGGGCTGAATACAATACCATAGTTTATAATATCGATGTCTAATGCATGTTTGTTATACGTATTAAAAATAGAAATTAGGTTATCATTCTTTATCGTAAAGGATAATTCTAATTCATATTGAGACTTTATGTTTGACCCAAAACACCGCTATACTAATAAATGGAGAGCCGATTATTTTATTCGGTTATACTGCGATAACTACTAAACCGATCTGAATAATACTCATACCGTAAAA